TAATCAAGGAAGGTGATACTTGAATAGACACAAGGCTATTTGTTGTGACATGGATCTCTGAGATGGGGCCCTCTAATGGGGTGAGGTTGGCTCCTAATCCAGGCTCAGTTATCTGTGGAGGATGCAGCCTCTCAGCTAGGACTTTCTACCCTAAGTAGACTGCAAGTACCCTTAGTGTCCAACAGTGCTGTCTTGCATTGCTTTCCGCAGCTGTAGCGTGATGCTCCAAAGAGTTATAACTGCATTTGAGTGCCAGACTTTAGAGGGAGGAGGGCTGGGTCTCTCCTACTGAAGTTTTAAGAACTAATGACCAGACTTTAGAGGGAGGAGGGCTGGGAAAACTTCTCCTACTGAAGTTTTAAGAACTAATGGACTTCTTTCATAGGAAGATTTAGCCACGGATGTGCCTTAGTTTCTGCATGAAAGGAGAAGCTATTTGCTTCTTTACCCCTCATCCCCAGCTCTTCTTGTCCCTTTGTTGTGGGCAGGAAGAAGTGCTGACTTCATGGTTTTGTCATTGCTGACATCTCATACACAAGGCCTTGCTTCATGGATGATCCAAGATAGCTCTGCTGGCTGCAGCTCAGGCAACCTCATGGGGTAGCACTTCAGCCACTTCCAGAAATAGAAGTGAGGTTTATTGGGGTGATTAATTTCTAATGAGCCCTTCTCACTGTAGAGAAGAACAGCTTGTATTTACAGCTTGACTTCTGATTTCATACAATGAATCTAGAAAGGAGTTGGCACATGGTGCTCTGAGTGAAGTGACCCATAACTAATATATTTCACCCTTACCTGCGTGCTGTGTTCAGTAGCCTGAATCTTGTCCTTGCTCTGACAGATCTGGCTTCTGTTTTGGCATCCCTTGAGAATGATACTGTGCTACGATCCCAGCACCATCCTGGAGGTAAGTGACGCAAAGATTTAAACAGGACTTAAAACACTGTGCTCATCCCAAAGCTTTTTTCAATTTTGGCTGAGAAATTAGCTAGGACTGATAGTTGGCATCTGTGTTTGACAGTGGATATGCTGTAGTAGATGTTACAGTAGATGTTAAAGCTGTAGCTCATTGAGAAGTCTTCTCCTCCTCTCCCCTGACTTAGTAGGTTCAGTGACCATTTTGTCATGGTCTCCAGCCCTCCAGGGGTGTCTCTTGCACCTAATGCCTTACAGCCCCTGCCCTTGGGACAGGTATTTGTGCTTGGCTGTGGCCGGCAGCCCTCCTGGGAGGCACATGGGTGAGGAGGGTGCTGAAGCAGAGAGCTTGTCTGAGGGCTCAGCACCAGTCCTGCTCGTCTGGTGAAGTGGCTCCAAGTTCAGTGTTGGTGCTGCACATGGGCACCAACCACTTGTGAAATTTAGAAAGGAGTGGAGGATGCATCTGGCGAGTAAGTGTCTGGAAGACACTTTAACTTTGAAGATATCAGTGCAATCCCACAGCTGTATTGCAACCACTTCGCACATGCCTTGGAGAATTTGAGTTAAGACACTAAACCTTATGTAAATGCTAGCTTGTTTGAGTTCAAACATTACTTGTTGGCTATTTAAAGAGATCTTTCTAATGCAAACAAGGGGATTCTAACCTCACTTCCTCAAATACACTCCAGTGGGCATCTTATGGCTACCTGGATCAGATACCTGCATAAGTCTTGCCCCTCAAATTGGGGCAAGGGGCAAAACCCATGTATGTGACTATTAACAGCAAAGCACAAGTCTAGGCTTATGCGGTAGAAAGAGCAAACAGCTTGCAAAAAAGGAGTCTCTACAGGAGGGAGTTGAGCTTTAAACAGGAGAAATAATACTGAATAAATATGCTTTAAACAACAAATGATGGCAAATCCATGCCAGCCTGGATTCAGCCAGAACACAGCTGCCTATCTTAAGCTGACCCCAGATGAAACTGCTGAGATGGGAGAGGAGAGTTTTTTGCTCTCCATCACAAATTATGGTGATCCCTTTGGGAAAGGTAACAGCTAAAGAAGCCTGAGGGCAAGCAGATGTATGCTAATGCTTTGTATGCTTTTTGCTCCAAGATCAATTCCAGCAATCAGTGCTGAGCATTAGCTAGGGCTTGTTAAACCTCTGGAAATACTCATGTGGTGCTGACTTACCCGAGGATATCCTTGTGCTAGCTCTTCTGCTACTGTTGTTACCCTGGGTTAGCGCATTTAAGGAGCCTCACTGCTTTATGTGAACTATAGAAACATGTTAAGATCTTATGTCTTCTGATAGATGTGCTGTTTGAAGTAACCATTGAAACCAAACACGTGGACTGGGTCCCTCGTGGTGGAAGTGAGCTCAGAAAGGACCTTCTTGAATCCATGAAGAGTCATGTAAGGCTGGGAATGGGGAGAAGAAAATGTGCTTCCCCTTCCACCCCATGTTCAGCCACAAGAGACCATGTCATGTCCTTCCTTTGGTTTGATGCCTGGCCCAGGTGCCTATCCAAAGCCCATGGCTGGATGGGGGACTGAGCTGTGGCAGCCCCTCTGGGCACTCCACAAGCTCGAGGTGGCAGAAAGCACTGCAGAGACAGAGATGCAACCAGCTAAGGGTGTAACTCACCTTTAGGAATTGGACAGCTTGCAGCCAGAGTGGAGAAGAGGGCAGGCATGTGAGCGTCTGCTTGTGGGGTTGCAAATATGCTGTATGCTGCTCTGCTCTGGTTTAACACCCACATGTTCTTGTGGGGCTATTGCCCTTCCTCTTCCCAAATGTCCATGTGTGTTGGGTAAACTGAAGCTAAACAGATGGGAGCTGTTAATGCAGCCTCCTGGAGAAAGGGCTCAGAGCAGGGGGCTGTGGGACCCTGAATGTGTCCCAAGTGGTCTGTGAAGGAGAAAAGCAGTGGGAGGGAGGACTGAGGAGAACTGGGCACTACTAAACCCCTGCCTATAAAAACACCAAATCAGCATCGGTTGCTCTGTTGCTTTGCAGATCCGGGAGAACCTGAAACTCTCCACCAACAGAGTGAATGAAATAAAATTAAAGGAAATCAGAAGGTAGGGTTGATGGTGCACCACCAGCTTGGCAGGCGCAGCTCTGCTATAACCTCTGTCCTTGGATAGTGGGCTGTCCTGGCTTTGCTCTCCTTCCCTCGGGAAAGACCTGCTGCATTCCTATCCTGCAATGCGTACCTTGTCCTTAAAGCAGAAAAATGGCTCTCCTCCATAGGAAGGAGGTAGTGAAAACGCATGTTCAGTGCTGCCTAAAGCCTTTATAGGTCTACTGGGTGGAAGGTATGAATGGGCTTTCATAGCATGGTCCCGTCTCATATGGGCTCTCCCCTGACTGCAGGGTGGGCAGAGACAACCTACTGCTCACCTTCTGGCTCCACCTGAAGCCCGAGGAGAGGAACCTGTCTCTGGCCCTGCAGTCGCAGCTGCAGGAGCTGCTTGGCACATCTGTGGGAGCAGAGAGGCCGCGGCTGGTTTCGCTCTTTGTTGAAGGTATGGGCTCCCTGCTGTTTGTTTGAGATTAAAAAATTTTATGCCCAGCCTGACTCTATTTACAGCACTTGGCATGCCGAGAGCTGCTGCCGCTGGGGCTGGAGAGGTTTAGGGCAGCCTCATTACACCTCTCCTCTTGCTGCAGATGTGAACGAGTGCAACCTCGGCCTCTGCGGCGAGGAGGCCGACTGCTTCAACGGTGTGGGCACCTACCTGTGTCGCTGCAAGAAGGACTACGAAGATCACTCCCCTACAAAATCTGGCACGCTGTGCATCCCCGCGCCCCGGTCAGGTAGGAGATGGAGGAAACATTTTTCCCCCTGTGGTGATGAGGCTGAAGAGGGAGGGTGCAATTGCATGTACAGGGACTGTGCAGGCAACTTGCGTGCATGAACAAATCATTTGTACAACCTCTGAAGCAGCTACTGGTGCAGGCTGTGCAAAGTGCTTCATATTTAGTTGCTTTTTGCCCCTTGGGATGTGAAGTGAGTGCGTCACGGTAAGTGCCCGGCTTCTCGACTGCAGCTCCGTACCTTTGCTAACATGTGTGAAATCTGGTCCTTAAAAATGGCACTATTCCTGCCACAGCAGTGGTGGCTTTAGATATATGGGTCTGGCACGGAAAGAATATTTACTATATCTTTGCAAGGGTATTCCTAGCTAGCTGCCACTTAAAACCCCCAAAACAAGCAAACCCTTTGGCTTTGCAAGTCCTTCTTCTGGACTGGTGTTGAGGTATTAGGGAGGGAGGAAGAGTGAAGCTGGGGCAGCTAAGTCCCTAAGACATTATAAGCATCTCAGGAGGCTAACATTATATTCTGAGGAGAAATAGCTGTGTTCTAGCCCTTTGCAGACTCTGAAGGTGCTGGCCTTCAAAGGTTAGCCTAGACAGGCCTCTGAAGGGTGACTTGCATCCTTTAAGTAGGTAGAGCTGAAGTATTGCTGCTGATTTGGCACTTCCAAGTGTAACTTGCCTGGCTTGGCTGGTTTTCCCCCAGTTGGCTGTGGAGTGCTCCTCGCGGGACATTTTCCCTCCACTGCCAAGTTAAACTCTGCAAGCCTTTGTCCACTAGCTCTCCCACGTCTCCTGTCCTTTGCGGCTTGGCACGAGCTGCTATACAGAGACTGCAGCCAAGGGTGATAGCTGAGCTGCTGTAACTCTAGAACTACTACGGTGCTATAATTCCCATGATCAGCAGATTTGGTCACCCCTTCAGAGTGCCCCATGGTCTCCTGTGATACCCCATGCAGGTCTTGGCAAGAAAGACCTATAACGGCACCTCCCAGCTTGAGAAATATCAGTATTCTGGACTGTGTACTTAAAACTTCACCAGAACTTCCTTTTTGTTTCTGTTTGAGGTAACATCACATGATGTCGTTTCTCCGCAAAGCTTCCAGTTGTCAACTGATAGTGACAAAATGTTAAAGCCCTGGTCTCTGGTTGCAAATGGCTTAAACATCTAACAGCCTTAAGGTCATTTGAACATGAATTCATAACTTGTGGTTTTTAATCCATGCTGTGTTCCAAATTCATCAACCAGTTGCACAGTTCAAGCCTATCCAGACTGATTGCATAGTATATTTGTATGTCTTGTATTTATCTCGGATCGAGGAAATGGTCTGCTTTGGATTACAATGAGTATGGCACCTCAGATTTTAGTAGAGTGTGAATTAAAGAGCGGTTTTGCTCTTTGGAGGCTCTGCTGAGAGTAAAATCAGGGCATGGATGACACCATGCCTCCTTCTCTTCCAGGCATCAGCTTTTTCTTCCGCCATCCCGAGGTGCTGGTGGGGGCTGCTGTCTCCTCAGTGCTGGTGCTGCTGGTGGCCGTGGGCATCCTGTGCGGGGTGGCAAGGCAACGGCGCCCCACCGGGGATCCCTGCCCCGAGGAGCCGGGTGCCCAGTCCGAGGAGTCGTCACCAGTGGCAGTGGTGATGGAGCTGAACCACCTGGATGACTGCCTCCGCCTTGAGCCCTTCCAGCTCAAGGTCCGCGCGCGGCCCCCGGACTGGATCTCCCAAGCCCGTGCCAGCCCTGGCCAGGCCTATGGGGTCTTCATCGAGCAGGATGAGAGCCTGTGATTGGCTGGTGAGGGAGGAGAGAAAGCTCAGAGCAACAAAACAATAAAAACAAGATGCAACCAGCAGATGTGCTTGGGCAACTAACCTCTATTTCTGGGTGCCAGAACTTGGAGCCTCTCTAGTTTATCTGCGCAATCTGGGAATTGCCAGTTCCTGCCTTCCCACATTGACACCTTTCTTAACAAACCCTTCTCGTGTGTTTTATGGACCACAAATATTCCAGTCTTCCTCGTGAATTTTTTTTAATCCTCACTTTGCTTTCCAAGGCCAAGCACTTGCTCTCAGCTAGGTGCTCTCTCAGCTTACTCTGCCTGAGGTCTGCTCACAACTGTTGTCATGCAATAATTAAATGCTTTTTAAAAAAAAAATAAAAATAAGATGTTTCAGTACTTCAGTGTAACCTTTAGTTCCTTAAATTAAGGTGGTTCTTGCACCTCTGCTCAGCACAGGGGTGTTTTGTCATCTTTTTTTTGTGCTACAGCAAAACCCCACTGTCTCCTGGTGGCCCCCAGCTGCAGGCTTTTAACTTTGCTCTGAGTTGGGGGCATTTATGTGAGCAACCTTTTTTCTTCCTTCAGAGAAGTGTATGATGGGCTTGGTGGCAGATGTCCCACTGGAGGGCAGTGTCTGCCACTGAAAGCCCAGGCACCTCTTGCTGCTGTGCATGAGGGGGCTGCAGTGCTTTTCCCTCTTTGCACCCCCTAAAAGCCCTGTCCCCTCTGGGCGTGCTGCCAAACAGCAATGTTGTCTCTGTGTGAGGGGCTAAGAGTGGGTTTTGCAGGATGTTGGTGCCTGAACAGTCTTTCCCTTGGCTTATGAGCAGCCACCAGCTCTTATGGAGTGTTTCCTGCACAGGGTTTGCAAATCAGGAAGAATTAAATGCAAATGTGTCTCTAGGAGGTTGGTAAGTGGGTGTAATTCTCTGTCCTACAGAGAAGGAAACCACCAGTGGATCCCTAGGTGCACAGAGTGGGCTTGTTTCCCTGCTGAGGTCAAAGAAAGCAGCAGGGGTTAAATAATACTGTTGTTTTCTTGGGGGAAAGGAACTTTTTCAGACCATGCGGGAATTTTACAGGAAAGAAGTGCGTGTCGATCCCTTCCCTAGTCCCTCTGCCTTGGGCTCAGTCCTTCCCGGGTGCTTCCTTCAGGGCTAGCTGCGAGAGGATGCCAGAATGAGGCATGTATCTCGCTAAGCTTCCCTTGGGCAGAGCTGCTGGGGCTGGGGCTGGGACCCCTCCAGTTTTGGGTGGCATGGGGAGCTCTGGGCTTTTTGGGCTGCCCAGGGAGAGGCTGGGAGGTGCTGACAGCAGCTGGCCTCAGTAAAAGGTTTATTGGTGATTAGGAGCACCTGCCTCTGCCTTAACGAGGGGGAAAAAAACCCACCCCTCACTGTTCCCCAAACCTTTTGATGCAGGCGCATGCCAAGTGATGGGTTTGGGAAGAGGCACGAGAGGGAATGGGAATTTTGCGGTCAAAGTGGGAAGCCCCAGGCAAGGAGGTTCCTCTGTGGGGCACCTCGCTTGGAAAGAGAGCCATAATCCTGCCGCTGCCGGAGAGGAGCAACCTGTGCTTGGCCGTGCCGCACGCGGCTTTATCCAGGCAAGATGGGAACAATGTAGGATGCTTTCAAAAATAAATGAGCCTGCTCCTTTCCCTCCAAAGCATGACCTGCCAGCATGCACTGAAGCTGGGCTCGTGTTGCGTACAGGTCCAAAATGTGCCTTTTTTGTGCCGTGGCTTGTATGAGGTGGCCAGGTCCAGGGCAAAATGAGTCATTTTTTTGCAGCGGGACTCCTTCTTGCAAGTGTTAGCGCTGAACTGTGGCAGTGTGTGCCGCGATCGCCGTGTCTGTGATTAGCTTCGAAGGACCTTGATGTTAGGCAGAAACGTGTATTTAAAGGGTAGAAAGTTTCCTGCCTCAGGCTGTGATTCACAGGGTCTGGGCAGATGCTCTCGTTAGGCAGCAAATGAGACCACATGAGCCCGAGGGAGGGATCTGGGCACTGACACGATGCTCGCTGGGACACGGGCCGGCGCCTCGGTGCCCGTCTGCGTGGATAGGTGTTTTTGCCCCAAACCCGAGCCCCGGACCGAGCGCCCGCAGAGCTGGCGGGCCGGCGCGAAGCGGCTCGCCCCGCGGGGGGGGCGCGGGTTCCCAGAGCATCTTAACTCTCAAGTGACTAGCTCTTAATTATTAGGCTATACGTTACTTAATATAAGAAGTATTCTTCCCAGCACCTATTGCCCCACGTGACATCTGCCAAGCGCTGCGAAATGCGTGTAGTTACGGTTGCAGAGAGGTAATTACAGCTCGCCCTCCCGATTCTGGGGCTTGGTCCATTGGTTTTATCCCTCTTTTTTATTTTTATTTTTCATTTTTATTTTTTTTAACTTTTATGCTTTGTGGAGCTGCAATGGTTAAAACCAGAAGGAAGGGCTCACGCTCCTGCTGGGGCAGTTCAGTTCAAAATGGGTTTCTTCCGGTGACCTAACTGTGTTTATGCCTCTGAAGAGGCAGAGGTGGCATCTCATAACTGGGATCATCACGATACCGGTGCCGCTATGTGCTTTCTAGACCCTTGAAATCAGGCAGCTTAGCTGTGGCTTGAGTCACTTTGGGTATTTGAGCTTTACATTTTTTTTCCCCCTAGTTGTTGGCCTTCGTGGCGCTTGCCTGCGGGACGGTGTACTCATGGGTTTGCATGTTTTCAGCAATTTTTCGTGCCACGTGGTGCTCCAGGCTCGCTTCCGGGCAGAAGGGGAAGTAGAGACGGGGAGCGGAGCACAAAACCAGCTGCACGTGGCTCAATGCCATTTGAGCCGTTAAGTGCAACGGCTTACATCCATTTAGGAGGTTTTTTTGGACATTATGAGCCAGAGAGCGGGCCGCCCACGCCAAGATATGTTGCAGTAAAGATGGGGCTAACCGTAGTGCGATTTTTGGTCTTAGCGTCCTGCAGTTAAACTGAACGATCACAGGGGCAACATGCAGCCTTATTCTAGGGTCTCCGTGTTCCTTTACGTGCTCCTCAAACCTCTTTGCGCTCTCCTCCTCTCCCTGCCACCAGCAGTGACGATAATGCAGGCCAACCTGCAATAGCGCAGCGTCTTTTGCACCCTGGAGACAGGACTAACTCAGGTGATGGAAAAGATTTAAAGTGATCAGATTTTTTTTTTTTTTTTTGGTGGCGGATGCCTATCATTTTCTAGCAATTAAATCCCTTAGGGTGCATTGCTGTGCTCTGGAAAATGCTTTTTGGTGGTATTTCAGTTTGCTGGACCATGCAGAGCTTTAAATTCTGGGTCTGCCCGCTCTCGATTTCTGCCGGCTGTAGAGGAGAAAGAAAAAGAGGAGATAGAAAACGCTTTCTATTCCAACAGGCCCCCCGTACGCGCCAAGGCGTCGGGGCGCTAATGGTGAAGGTGCGAGCTCCGGGTGTTGCAGCCAGGATTTCTTGCGTTGCTAGCAAGAGAAAAAGCCGGCCTGCCCCTCTGCCGGCAGGCGACAGAATAGACCGGATTTCCAGCGACCTTTTTCCCTAAAATATCGCAAGCGATAGCATCCACGCGCCTGCTGGCAACGAGGTGGAGGCCTCCCTTTCTAGCGCTGTTTCCGAAGCGTCCTTGCCCAGCCGGCTGCGAGGATGGGGCTGATCCTGCCTTGAAGGGCACCCTTCGCACATCTAACGCATCCGAACCATACCGAAGGGAGACCGGGAACAAGCCAGGTGTTACAGAGCCCCTGGTTAGTATATTAATGACGTATATTACAGGGGCGCTTAAAGAGCGGTGCTTATCACAGCACGGCTTCTGGCGTGCCGGCACGCGCACCCTGCCCGACGCGCTGAGCTGTCTGTCCGCACGGGACTGTTTCTGGAGGCTGAACTGCACGTGCCTGGAGAAGTGGCTAATTCCCATAGAATTACAAAAAGAGCTGCGTGCTGGATACGCTGACAATAGAAAACGGGGTCTGACAATGTAAAACGGGAAATAGGGTATTAGGGTTGAAATAGTGCAATAGCCGTTTTGGAGTTTCTGGGCCTCCAAAGAAAAACGTAGCAGCTCGAGTACTTTTTTGGTTAAGAAAAGGTCCCAGGTGACATCGTTTTGAGTCGTTGATTTTCTGTAGGCATCACAGCAGCGCAGGAAATGCGTTGTACTTACCCAAGGTGCTGCAGGGAAAAACTGAAAAAAAAAAAAAAAAAAACACCCCTAAAAAAAAACCCCACACATCTCATTTCTCGCTCGGCAGCCTAACAAAACCGGAATATGGTGGGAGGAAAAAAAAATAAAAAAGAAAAAAAAATAAATAAAAAGCAAACAAACCCTTCCTTGGATCCCTGCCGAGGATGCAGCTTTTGGTGGCAGAGTTTCACAGCAGCTAAGACGCGTCCCGGCGCGGGCTGGAGGCGACGAGGGCAACGGTGGCATTGGGGCCGCGGGACACGCAGGCAACACCTCTCTGTGGCCGTTTTTTTTCCTGATCTCGGCTTATCAGGGTAATATTTCATGCTTGGTGCTTCTAGGGGAGGAAAAAAAAAATTCAATATTCGAGAACAAAGTAATCCCGAGCTTTCCTTCCTTTCAGCCTTTTGTGTCCCAGGGCTGTCCTAGCTCCGTGCCCCAGTTGTTATTGTGGCGCGTTTCACCGCTGCTGACTGCTGCCAGCCTGGCTAATCCTTTCGCTGCTGCTTATCAGTGGTTTTGTAATTCTTTTTTTTTTTTTTTTTTTGTGTGTCCATTCTACTTTCACAGCTTTTAGGGTTTTGTTTCCCCCCCCTCCCCGGCTAGGAAATCGGAGGGCCCCGCCGGGGCCGCCTCGCCC